TTGTTTTCCCTAAAATTTCCCCTTATTTTACAATTTCCCTTTTTTTTTCCTCGGCCCCACTCCTTTTCTTTGCGTGTAAATTGGAGGGGGGCCCCTTTTGGAGGGAGAACCCTGGGGCAAAAATTCCCTTTCTTTTTTTAAAAACGCGGCCCTTTTTTTGGGGCCACCCCCCTTTGTTGTTTTTTTTTTGGGGGGGGGGGGGGGGGGGGGGGCAGAAAAAAAGAGGAAACAAAAATAAATGAAAGGAATAACCAATGAACGTGCAGCAGCTGATGGGTTAATGAAGTTTTGTTTACCCTTCATTAGGTTTCGTGTTGGAGTCATAGCAGTATAAAAGAAGTAAATTTTAGCTACCAAATAGGATGAGAAAGATCCTGTAATATTTTAGCTTGTCTACCTATCTTGTATCAAGTGGAAGAATGTAAGTTGTTTTTCATTCAGATATTGAATATTTCTATGTAATAAGTTTATTTAATTAAAAATGTGTTAATCATTAGACAAAACTTCTCTTTCTCAGCAAGCGGCATGATTAAGTAGTTTGAGTGAACGATAATTGATTTAAAATGGATTAGACCGAACAACAAAGATGACCTGGCAGGCCCACAGAGGTTTGCAATGTTTTCACCGACGGTAAAGATCACAGCTGGTGCAGGAGCCTGGAGGTTTCACAATATTTAACAATGAAGACTGTTTAGGCTTAGCACTGAATGAGAGTGACTGCGCACCGGAGAAACTGCTGGTTTTAACCGGTAGTTGGTTAGTAAGTGAGATCTTTCGTTTTTAAATTGGAAGAGGCTAGCAGTACTTAAGGCCACCTCTCAGGCAAGTCTTTTGGCTATTCTCACCCGGTGCGCGTTCACCGTTATAGCCTAGATCTAGGCCAACAAATTTTCACCCTAAACCACAGAATTCTACACTGTGATAACAGAAAAATTGTAGAATTCTGTGCCGTGTACAAACGTTCCATTACAACTGTAGCCTACTAAAAGCGTACAATTTTGTCTGTGGGCAGTGGAGAGAGAGAGAGAAAGAGAGAGAGGAGTAGCGCGAGAATTTCCGGGCAAAACAAAATGGCGACCCGCGTAGTTCGGCTCGATTCGAAAAGTTAAATAGCCGTAGCATCTTTGTAGACAACCAAATTAATTTACTTTTGTGTTTTAACATCATTTTTAAACTTTGTTTTGGTCAATTTGATCGCCCACACCGATAGACAGTATTCAGAAAGGCCACCTCTATTCTCACCCGGGATGAGAATAGTGTAGGCTAGTCTTTTGGCTATTCTCACCCGGTGCGCGTTCACTGTTATAGCCTAGATCTAGGCCAACAAATTTTGCGTTCACCCTAAAGCACAGAATTCTACACTGTGATAACAGAAAAATTGTAGAATTCTGTGCCGTGTACAAACGTTCCATTACAACTGTAGCCTACTAAAAGCGTACAATTTTGTCTGTGGGCAGTGGAGAGAGAGAGAGAGAAAGAGACAGAGAGAGGAGTAGTGTGAGAACTTCCGGTCAAAACAAAATGGCGACCCGCGTAGTTCTGCTCGATTCGAAAAGTTAAATAGCCGTAGCATCTTTGTAGACAACCAAATTAATTTACTTTTGTGTTTTAACATCATTTTTTAACTTTGTATTGGTCAATTTGATCGTC